CGGGGAAGCCCCCGCCACCTGCCTTTTACCTGCTTTCTCAGCCTGTCACTCCCAAGGGAACCAATTCCACAATCTCCAAGGTTACCCGCTTTCACTATGGCACAAGAGGGAAACAGGAGGGAAAGGTCAATGCTGAGGGTGTTTCTACATAAAAATGTATTTTCACACTGACTGAACTTGTGGGGTTGCAGAAACAGAAAGCAGAAACCTGATGACTAAGACACCCTTGGGAGGAGGATGCCATCCTGAAACCACTGCATCTAAAAGACACTCTCAGGATGAGCAGTCAGAATGCTCAAGATGTATGGCGAGGGGGCACTCACACCAGACTAGGGGTTCTCAACTGGGGTACTCAAGTGGGGGTGATTTTTGCCCCCAGGGGGCATTTGGTAACAGCTGGAGACGTTGTTGGTTGTAACAACTGGGGGAGGCTGCTACTGGCATCAAGGACCAGGGATGCTGCTAAATACCGTACAATGCACAAGACAGCCTCCATAACAAAGAACTCTCCGGCCCCAACGGCAACAGCACCGAGGCGGAGACACTTCCCTAGACTAACCCCATCCCTGCAGCCATCTCCAGAAACCCTAACAATCCTACCTGAAATAAACGTTTGCCATACCTCTGACTGGGCAGTTACCGTGTCACAAAAGTCCACATATCCCGTAAGCAAGAGTAAACGTCAAGCAGATGTGACACGCAAGTGCTGCATCCTCAGATGTTCTCCCAGTAAACATCTTCAAGGGCGCTCCTCAGGACCCAAGAAAGTAGATTCTTTCACAACAATTACAATGAAAGAAAGACAGACACACACACACACACACAGAGGAGCTGTCATCTTAAAAATCTCTCCAATTGTCAGGTAGAGGCACAGGCAAAAATAGCTGTACAGTTAGGATGGCCCATGCGATTCCAAAATATTCCAAAGAGAGAAAGAAAGAGGGGAAGAGAACAAACAGGACAACTCCACAGCCAAAAACAGATTTGCCCCCAGGGCTATCTCATAGCTAAAAACAGTTCAATCACTCTGAGTCATCCATGGTATATAGCATCTTTTATTTTTTAATTGTAAAATATGATAAACATATAAGAGAGGGGAAATGTAAATATTGAGCTTAATGAATGAAAACAAACCCATGTAACTACAACTCAGGTCAAGAAATGGAACCGTGTCCAGTGGTAACTCCCTGCCAGGCGTGCCTCTCCCACGCACAGAGTAAAAATACGGGTGCTATTTTGAAAGTTCCATTTTTACTCAAGGACTGGGATTTATTTCATTTTATTTTTTTTTATTTATTTATTTTTGGTTGTGTTGGGTCTTCGTTGCTGTGCACCAGGCTTTCTCTGGTTGCGGCGAGCGGAGGCTACTCTTCATTGCGGTACGTGGGCTTCTCACTGTGATGGCTTCTCTTGTTGCGGAGCACAGGCTCTAGGCGCGTGGGCTTCAGTAGTTGTGGCACACGGGCTCAGTAGTTGTGGCACACGGGCTTATTTGCTCCGCGGCATGTGGGATCTTCCCGGACCAGGGCTCGAACCCATGTCCCCTGCATTGGCAGGCAGATGCTCAACCACTGCGCCACCAGGGAAGTTGCTGGGATTTATTTTTATGTATTACCACAAATACCAACTGCTGTGACTGCAAAGTGGACAGATTTGGGAAGGGGGGCTGTTTATGGAAACAAGCTCATGGATTGTTAATTCACGAAAGCACATGGGGGAAAGGCATGGAAGGATGCCTAGAAACAGGGGGGAAAGCCCAGACTGTGGCCCAAGAGAAACTTGAGTTAGAATCTGGCACCCTGGGCACAGATGACCTCTCAGGAGCCACAAAATGACTTCCCATCACATGATATTATTGGAAAAATTCAACGGGATCATGTGTTTCAATGGCGAGCAAAGCACCTCATACACAGGAGACAGTCCACAAATACTGGGTTCCCTTTCCTCTCCTTGACCATGAAAAGATGCAAGGTTGAAAAGGCCATGACTTTCATAGATTATGTGATTAGAAACCGTCCTAATCCCCAAATTCTCTAAACTGTTTCACAAAAGTGATGATACAAGTCCACTTTCAAGTTACCCAGGTGACTTTGACAACGAGGCATCTAAACCAGTCTTGCAGGCCCAGAAGGTACCGTCCTCCCTCCCCTACTGGCTCATATCCCTGTCTCTCCCTCACTTATCACAAGGTGAAAGGCCTAAGCGGGCTGTCAGGAAAAAACACCTCACACCCCAGTAGGGAGCCTTCATCCATCTCTTTGAAGACGAAAAGCAACAAGGTGTGTTTATTTGTACTTGGTGCACACGGCCTCATCGACCCGCCTGGGCTGCACGAAGCGACTCAGTTCGTTAAAAATAATAATAATAAAACCCACCCACTCACACCACTAAGCAGATCTCTCCAGGAGAAAAGGTCAACACCCACACTCCTGGGTGCACATAGGGGAAATCAAGCCTTTTCAAAGATAATGTCAGGCAGTCCCTAAAAGGTCAGCCAGGAAGAAGGTGAGCTGTCTGACCCCCTCAGGGCCCGGCCACCATTAGACATGCCTCACCATCCACGCACTTAAATCCACCGAGCCCACCACGGGAAGGAAAGCTGGGTATCAGATGGGCTGAGCCTTTCTCACAGGCTACAGTAAAAAATAATAGCGGTCAAAATCGATGCTTCACTTCCCTAACACAAACAATAAAAACAAAGGAAGAAAAATACATACACAAACATATGAAGGCGTCTGAGAAGGTTCCTGAAAAACAAAGGCCTCCAGATTGCTCTAGAAATGCCTTTCAGACCTACAAAGACCCGGAACTCAGACTAGGGCTCCACTCTGACCCCAGGTTTCTTTACAGACTATCAAAAGAAGACAGAAGTCAAAAGCACCAGCTTTTATAATCTCTCTTGTTCTATCAACTTCCCCGAAGAGGATTGAGCTGTAGGATATGGGATAGAAGGGCAGGGTCCCTGGCCTACTATGAACCCCAAACTGAACCACCATGCAGGCTTCAGGAAAACGGACCAGCCCTGTTTCTGGTAACACTTCAGGTCAAAGTAGAATCCCTGCTAGAAGGATGATGCTTAATATAACAGGAAATGCATACACCCCAACCTGCCTAGAAGTTTCTAAACCAACAACTAACTGTAAAGGTGAGACAAAACCACACAAGCTCAATGACCACAGGTAACAGAAAACTACCACCTGGGACAGCCAGGCATTCTGTGACCGCACCTCCTCCATTTTTCCTTCCCCATTATGACTATTTTATTTATTTCAGCCCTATTTTATACGTACACACACATATTAAGTAACCCGTGCTGACCAGAGAAAGACAAAATTAACTTTACAGTTATTTTTACAGAGTTGGAGACTCAACCAAAGCAACCCAGTACTAACTGGGAGATGCAATAAATAACACTTTCCACTGAGCCTCAAGCAGCTCTCTGAGCACAAACACAAGTCCCGGCTTCCAGACTGTCCTGCTTGGGTGTTATCAGGGGACACACCAGGGCAATGCAAATTGAGAGCATGAATCTAGGCAGGTCTTTGTGTCTGAGATGTCCTGGAAATCTGCCTGTTCTAACAGCCTCCAAATAATCATTCACCCCTACCCGTGAGTGCCAGTGCCCTCTCTCCCTGTGGTGGCCCAATAGTTCAGGAGGAACAAGGCACTGTGACCCAGACCTGGTTAAAAATCCACAGCAGCCACCAGCATGCCACCCTCACTGGAAGCCACAGCAAACCCACAGACATCTAAACGGGAGTCTCCAGGAGTGGGGATGATGTCATAGGTCTGAGAGTGGGGGAAGGCTACCCAGTGGATTCTGAGGATGGCCAGGACCAGGGACTTCAAGGAAGGAGGAGATTTCTCTTTCCAAGTGCACACCTGGCAGGGAGGGGGAACTTCAGAATTAAGTGAGTCTCCACTTCCCCAACAAACACACCACCAAAGACACCTCCACAGCAAGTAGCTAGAAGCATCTGGGAGAATCAGGCATTAATTAGACACGAGGATGGCACCGACGTCAGGCAAGCCAGCTTCTGCTGAAGAAAGTTCACTGGGCCCTGTCACCTACTTTTCTGGGCATCAGCCGCCCAGAAATAAACATCAAGGGGCCAAGGGCGTGGCGACCCTAGGAGGGGCAGCTGACAGCTGTGGCCGGCGGGCAGGGGCAGGGGAAGGGCTCCAGGCTGGAATTCGGAGCGCGCCCACATCAGCAGAAAAGTTCCCTGGAATAGCATGCTGCTCCTGGGGACCTCAGGATGCACACGCTACGGCGATGCCAGGTTCAAAGGGCCGGCAGATGAAGCCCGGATTCTCTCCCAGGGCATCTCGCCATTGTAGGTCGAGTGGGGGTAATCAGATGATTTAAATAAATGTCCTGCTCCCAGTATCAATGGGAAAGATTAATAATTCCCAGGTCCGGCCCTGCTTCATCTCTCTTTGCCCAAACCAAACACAGTCCCAGGGAGGAATGGAAGGAAACGGCGATTACCGGTCGCCCTGCGGTCCAGGTAGGAAACTGAGGCACGGGGGTGCACACAAGAAAAACCAAAGGGGACCTGGAGAGGCTAGCACAGCACAGAGCATCCCGCGTCTGGGATGATGGGATCAGGGAAGCGTTCTCTCCCCTCCCCTCCCTTCCTCCTTTCCCCTACACAACACACACACACACACACACACACACACACACACACACGCACGAACTCTCCAGCTACGCCCAATCAGGGCAGCTGCCGGGCTCCCCAGAGCCGGACTGCACACAAAGCCCCGCCCGTGCACACACAACACAGCACAAGCCGGCGCGCACGCCCACACAATAGGACGGCGCGCACCCTGCCGCGGCCCCTCGCCGGGGTCCCGGCCAGCCCGGCGCCGTGGTCCGCCCTCCGTGCACACCCGCGCCGGGAGACGCAGCCCGGGCAAGAGGAGGGGGCACGATCGCAGCCCGGCCGCCGCGTCCCGCGCCCCGAAGAAAGTTCGCCGGACGCCCCCCGACTCACCCGCGGCGCTGCTCAGCAGCAGGCACAGCGGCCCCAGCAGCCACATGGCGCGGCCGCTGCTCCCGCTGCCCGGCGCCGTCGCTGCCCCCGCGGCCTCGGCGCTGACCCCGCCCCTCGCCGCGCCGGCCCCGCCCCCCGCTGTCCCTCCTCCCGCCCGCCCCGCCCTCCTCGGCCAGGCCGGCCCCGGCCCAGCTCCGCGAAGTTTTGCGAGCGTCCCGGCTGCGCGCCGAGCCCGCGTCCTGCCTAGAGTGTCCAGGCTCGGAGAGGCCGCGGAGGAGGCCGCGGAGGGTCCGGCCCTGGCGGCCTCTCGCCGCCAACCCCGTCTGGCGGCGAAGATCTAGTAATAGCCCGGGCTCTGTTCTTGCCTTCTCTTTCTCTTTTTCCTCCGCCTTTTGCTCCTCCATCGTCTGGGGATGCCGCGCTCACCATCTCCTCCTCAGTCCCAAATTTGGATTCTTTACGGAACTACAAAATGAGTGTACTCTAGGGAGGGAACGAAAAAGTTGGAAGAAAGGGCCAAATATTATGAGGAAAAAAAATTATATATATATATATATATATATATATATACACACACACACACACACACACATATACGTATGTATTATTTTTAGTAGCTAGAGTGGAATACGGTGAGTGCTTCTCAAACTTCTCAGACGCATCGACGCACCGGGACTCTGACTCAGTAGGTATGGGGTGGAGTCTAAGATTCTGCTTTTCTAACAAGCTTTTAGGTGATTTGGAAACTGATGGTGAACCACATGTGGAGTAGGCACACAGCATTGTCCTGTGCTTTATTTCCTCTGGATCTTGTCTACCTAGACCAGGGGAACTTTGGGTCCCAATTTGCAGAAAAGGAAAGTAAATGTGAAAGTAGAAGCCCACATACAAAAAGAAGTTGGGGCCCCAGTGCAGTTGGGGCTCCAAGACAGCACTGGTGACAGTTCTCAAAGAATTTAGATGGAGGAAGAATCAATGACACTTTCGTGCTCCACTCTCCAGCCCCTCCCCTCCCCAGAAAACAACCGAAGCAAAAACAACAACAAAAAACCGAACGCAAGTAATCGCCCCAAACTGGAAATATCCATCAACTAAGGAATGGATAAACAGATTGTGTTCTATCACCTAATGCAACAACATGAATAAATCTTAAAAGCATGCTAAGAGAAAGAATCCAGCCTCCAAGGGTACATTCTGTATGATTTCATTTTTTTTTTAATGTGGACGATTTTTGAAGTCTTTATTAAATGTGTGACAGCATTGCTTCTGTTTTATGTTTTGTTATTTTTTTGGCCCTGTGGCATGTGGGACCTTAGCTCCCCGACCAGGGATCAAACCCGCACCCCCTGCATTGGAAGGTGAAGTCTTAACCACTGGACGGCCAGAGAAGTCCCCTATGATTCCATGTATAAGACATGAGGGGTGGGTTTCCCTGGTGGCGCAGTGGTTGAGAGTCTGCCTGCCGATGCAGGGGACGCGGGTTCGTGCCCCAGGTCCGGGAGGATCCCGCATGCCGCGGAGCGGCTGGGCCTGTGAGCCATGGCCGCTGAGCCTGTGTGTCGGGAGCCTGTGCTCCTCAACGGGAGAGGCCACAACAGTGAGAGGCCGGCGTACCGCAAAAAAAAAAAAGAAAAAGAAAAAAAAGACATGAGGGGTGAGGGCAAGGGAGCGAAACAAAACTCTAGGGACCAAAATCAGATCAGTAGTTATCAGGGTCTGGCCTAGGGAAGAGGATGAGTGCAAAGGGGTGCAAGGGAAACTTCTGAGGTGGTGGGCTGTTCTGCATTGCGATTATGGTGGTGGTTACACAACTTTATACATTTGTCGAAACAGAGAACTACATCCCTAAAACCCACACCTAAAACAAGTGAATTTTACTGTATATAAATCGTACCAGTTTGGAGGAGCAAGGAGGGTGTGGGTGCTGGGACTGTGGGTGAGGGAGCTTGTAGATAGGACGCCCACACTAGATTTGGGATGCGCTGGACACAACCTGCAGGATACTGAAATTCAATGCTGTTGTTTTTTAATTATCTGTTCTAGTCTGGAAACATGAAGGCTAAAGTGAATCAGGTCAAAATTTAAAAATACCAGTGACGGTTCAAGGTAATGAGAAAATGTGAAGCAGTGTAGGAGAGTTGAGCAAATTCCATATTACAAAGGAGTTTGTCAAGCATGGAAAACATAAACAAATTCTCCAAAAGATTTAGCAACTGGGGGTTTTATCCTGGGATCCATGAAACACTAGGGAGCTCATCTCATAGGCTTCAAAGAGTTTTAAAGCCCCCCCAAATTTTATCCATATTTCAGGTGTGTGTATTTTTCCAGGAAGCATGTCGGAATGAGGCCCCTGGCCTCTGATAAAGATGCACAAGAAGGCAAATAATTTCTCCTACAGCTACTCACTTTCCCCCAAACATTAGGAATACAGAAAGAGAATGGATCTGACCCAGTACCATCTTTCTTGTTTCCTTGTGTTACTTTGGGTACATGACCTTCAACTCTGGATTTAGTGTGCCTGGCTTGCTTTCTGTCTCTCCGTCTCTGTCTCTCTGTCTCTGTCTGTCTGTCTGTCTCTCTCTCTTTCACTCACACACACACACACACACATATTTCTTTTAAATATATGAATATCTTTGAAATCATTCCAACAATGTAAAGCCCTCTTTACATTCAATGGTTGTTTTTATACTTATATTGAATCACTCCCAACCTCCTCACCATATAAGCTGGGCAGGAGGTAAAACCATTCTTTATACTTCATTACTCTCCTCTTTCTCAGTTCTTTAGAATTCTATCAAAAGCACAGGACACTCGGTTTCCAGAAAACATAGTAGGTTCCAGTGCTAACTGTCCAGATCTCAGGGAGCCAGTCCCAAGTCGTTCTTTACAGTTGGTTTCATACAAATCAAAACCAGAGTGCTTTATGTCGCTTATTTACCAAAAATGAGACACTCTGACCTTGGATGTGTGCTTTGAACATGGCTTCACATTGCTGAAGCAGGGAAGAAAGAGTTTTGTCTCTCCGTGGTCTTTGGTAGAATGCTCTATAGTTCCCCTACTTTTTCTCATTAACTCCTCACAGCAGCTCCAGCGACATCACAGGTGAAAACAGCACAAACTAGACTTGAGCTCAGCTTCTTCTTACATGTGCTCCAATTCTCTTCACTTGCCACACATTAGTCTGTAACTTTGGGCAAGTTATCAGCCTCTCTGAGCCTTAGTTTCCTTATCTGTAAAATGGGGATAAAAAGAGCACCTGGATCTTAGGGTTGCTGGCAGGATTCAATGAGATATGTAAAGTCTTTAGCATAGTACCTTGCACATAGTAATTGCTCAAGGAAAGGTAGATGCTGGTGTGATTGTGGCTGTGATTCATATTACAAGGCAGCTGCTGTGGTAGCCAGTCTCCAAGATGGCACTGAAAGATCCTTGGCTTCTGGTATCCATGCTTTGTGTAGTCCCCTCCCACCCTTGAATGGGGCTGGCCGACATATGTGACCAACGGATATTGTGGAAGTGACAATGGGTAACTTCTAAGGCTAGGTCACAAAGGACATAGCAGTTTCTTCCTTGCTCTCTTAGATCCCTTGCTCTGCGCAAAGCCAGCCACCATGTTGTGAGGACACACAAGCAGCCCTGTGGGTAGGCCCACATGGAGAGGGACTGAGCTTCCTGCCAACTTGGAATGAACCATCCTAGAAGCAGATCCTCCAGCCTCGATCAAGCCCTCAGATGACTGGGCCTAGACCAATATCTGACTGGCTATTGTGAGAAATCCTAAGCTGGAACCACCCAGCCACTCCCAAATTACTGATCTACAGAAACTGTCAGAGATAAAAAATATTTATTGTTGTTTTAAGCCAATAACTTTCAGGGTGATTCCTTATGCAGCAATAGATAACTAGTACTTCTGCCTTTAAAACCATCCAGAGGATTGACTTAATGATTCTATAGGACCTTTTAAATGACTTCACACTTAGAAAACACTTTGAATTTTGCCTGCTACATGGTAAGCACTGGAATGTTCGTTTTATTATCATAGTTTATTTTAAAATTATTGTCATTACCATTACCTTTTTTCCAACGCACCTAAGCAACTTTCAAACTTTAGAAAAATGTTTTAACTTGAAGAAGAGTAAGGACTTGTATGGAATAACAAGAGGAGGAAGAGCCAGGGACACTGAAAAGATAGAGAGAAACTTCACTTACAAAAAGTTTACTGAAAACAAGTAGGCATTAGCTTCATAAAAAATCAGGCAGAGAGGGCTTCCCTGGTGGCGCAGTGGTTGAGAGTCCGCCTGCCAATGCAGGGGACACGGGTTTGTGTCCCGGTCCGGGCAGATCCCACATGCCGCGGAGCGGCTGGGCCCGTGAGCCATGGCCGCTGAGTCTGCGCGTCTGGAGCCTGTGTTCCGCAACGGGAGAGGCCTGCGTACCGCAAAAAAAAAAAAATCAGGCAGAGAGATGGTAGGAGACATCCCACCTCCCTCCCCCCAGTCACTTCTGTGGCTCACAGTTTCACAAGGGCTCCATACTCCCTGCCCTATGCTCTACCTTTCATTCATCTGATTTTCATTCTTCTCTCTGGTATGTGAAGAAAACAGAAATTCACTTGAGGATACAGCCACAGAAGGGTTGTTCCACTCCAACCTGTAGTGGATGCTGGAATGTGTCTGTTGAAAGGTTGCCTGGTGGAAGAAGATGACTACACTTCTCCTGAAATGCACAATGCCCAGCACACACACACATGCCCATGTGCACTGTCTACCCCTCACATGTTATTATCATGAGTCCACAAAGTCAAGTAACTGAGGAACAGGCTTGGAAGTGGCTTGACACACCTGGGCTCCTACATCCCACCACTTACTAGTTCTATGAGGCTGAGAAAGTCACTTTACCTCCAACTGTCAGTTTTCTGTGAAATGGACATAACAATTGTACCCACCTCCTAGGGATGTTGCAAGAAGCAAGAGGACTCACTGATCCCCTTACCTTTTTGACAGTTATTGAGAGAGAACTGTGTCAAACACTGTTCTAGACTCTGGATTGCTGCGGTAAGCACACATTTCCTTGTCCTCATAGAGCTCATATATCAAATTGTAATACAGTGCCCTTTATCATTGGGCAATGTGAAGCATTATGCAGAGTTC